TCCAATCACTAACCTAAAAATCTGTAAGCCCGTCTATAACCTACAAGCCTCCTTTTCCAGAGGTCCCACCCTTTCGGATCAGACCAATGAAAAAAACCCTTGACGCTAAACTGCAAACTTCGTGTCTCTTGCTCTCAAAACCAAATAAAAGAAGCCACTGTATCTGAATAGCCCGTCTTTCTCTGGACACGCTTACCTTTCTCTGGGCCTGATCATTCAATTTGGTTTTAGAAATAAGTTGCATTAATTATTCTCTCTGCAGATTCTATGATGTCCATCGATACAAGCATTACACACCAGTGAAAACTAGCAGCTAACTTTTTATTTCTTTTTTAATTCTAGCATGTGTTCTGGCCAGAGAGTGACAGAAAGACTCTGAAAGAGAAAGCACCCTCCAATAGGGCATGGCCACAGTACAATCCCTTCTCCTCCATTTCTCCATCCTGTTGGGATTTTGGGCATACACGCATATGCATCTGGTGTGTTTTATAAGCTGCAGAGGCAGGGATTTGAACCCATGGTGGGCTCCAGCTCCCTTAACCACTAGGCTACGGCTGGTCCCTATGATGTAAACTTTTTATTGACTTGTATTTGTGTCTCTTTTTAAGATGGAGAAAACTTTTTCCAGGAACATATTCCTTCCCACTGCCATGTCTCTCAATGGCTGAGTTTCCTTCAGTATCATTAGCAAAAACTACATGGTATGCCTATTTTTTTTTTTGGAAGGTTTTTGCTATAGAGCGTGTGCGCTCGCCAGACAGACAGAGAGAGACAGAGAGACAGAAAACGAGAAATCACCCCCCAGGGTGATGGCCACGCCGCAATCCCTTCTCCTCCATTCTCCTCTCGGGATCCTGGGCACGCATGCACACGCGCCTGGCGTGGCACGCCTATGTTTAAATGAATATTTGGTGAGGGTATGGGGCCATCATGATAGTCTTAGACTAAGCACGATTTACTCCCTGGAGCTGGGTTTGGAGCCTAGCATTCCTCAAATACATGACCAAACATAGTTGCTCAAGTTAACAAGGTGGAAAAGAGAGTACTAGCTTTTTGGGTAGGTGATCAGCAGAATCTGCCACCCAGGCTAAGGAATTAGGGCTGCCCCTGTTGGGATAAGGACCCACTGAGGGATTTTAAATAATATCAGAATGGAGGGGCACTCAAGAGGGGCATGGGTCTGGAGACAGGGCCATCGTTTAGAAGGCTTCAGAAGATACTAGAGAAGATTTTAGGTACTTAAGAATACCTCGTGACTAGTTGGGTAGGAAAAGGGAAAGAAATGATGACTCTCATACAGGTTTCTGTGTGGGTGAAATCCAGGGTACTTCGAAGCTGGAAATATGGATAGAGGAGGTTTGGGTGGATAAGGTCAGAGTGGAGAGAAAATGAGGTTGACTTGGGACACTGAGGTACTGAAAAGACACATGGAGACAGATGAGTAAACTTAGAAGAGTGAAGATGTTACCTAAACCCCTGTAGAAGTTAGGGCCAGAGGAAATGAGGAGGGAATGAGAATAATGGGAAATAGAAGAACCAGCAGCAGGTGGCATGGTGGTTAAGGCGCTGGACTCCCACATGGCGAAAAGTGGTTCAAGTCCCAGACCTGGAGGCTTCCCTTCTCACTTTCTCTTTGACTCTCTCTCTGGTGAATGCATGTGCCTTATAGCAAATTTAATAATAATGATAATAATAATAAATCAAACAAATAATTCTTTTTTAAAAAAGAGGAAAAGCAATATAGGTAACTGACATCTAGCACGGGACTGGTTTGGCTAATGTCGCTTTAAAGAACAGTTAAAAACCTGTTTTGAAATACGGGTTTATGGGTTTTTATCATTTGTTGCAACATGTTGAGTTACGGCAAATGAAATAGGGAAATAGTCTGAACCCTTTTTTATTTGCCTGGATGACTGGAAACTCCAGAACAGCTCCTGATTTGTTAATCAGATAAGCTTGCAGGTTTTTGTAGAGAATCATGCTTAACAAATGCCCAAGGGCACATAGACTTGTTAAAAGGAAGTATTCTCCAAAACAAGACTTGACAAGGAAGTTTTACAAAAAAAAGGGTAATGAGAAAGTGCTGGAAATAAAATATAGGTGCTTTTCTCTTTTATGACAGTAGTGTATTAGAAAATGTAAGAGGATGTTTCAATGCACCTTTGAATTATAAGTTAATACATTTCATAAACCATGTGAGTTAGGTATTGTTTTAAAAAATTGATAAGAATTTTGATTCTACTCATAAAAGACCTATTTTGTGGAATAATGGCGTTCAAAACATACATAGGTTAGACTTAAAAGTCACAGAAGGCAATTTCAAAAAACTTTGAGAGACTATTCCAAAACACTTGTTGAATTGTTTCCATGTGTTTGTTCGAGGCACTGAACTGCAGTTGGCATAACAAGAATGCCTGATATTTGTATAAGTTTGTGGCTAGTCCATCTTCACGCATTTATTCTACTCAGTATGTTTTATGAGGGGCCAGATAAAATATAACACTTAAGGTAGAGTGAGGACTGAGGGACAGAGAACATTGAGAACCAAGAATTGAAGGAAAAAGGTGAGTTGGGAATTCCAGCCAGATTGGGAGAGCAGTGGCAAAAATAAGCCATAAACAACTGAATATACGAGCTGGATGATTGTCACATCTTCATGACAGTTGAGTGCTGACCCACAGCCCCTGCAGCAATCAGCCAGAAGGCTCAGGACTTGGGTCAATGGCAGTCAACTTCCTTAATTTTTTATCCCCTCTCCTTCTGAGGCAGGGCCAACTAGATAAAACAGAATATGCTCTCCTAGCCAAATACATAAGATGATCTGCTTTGAGACCAGCAGGGGGCATGGTGGTTAAGGGCGTTGAACTTCCACATGCCTGACCTCGACTGGAGTCCGTGACTTGGCAGCTTGTTTTCTCACTTTCTCTCTCTCTCTCTCTGTCCCTCTCTGATCAAATTAAAAATAAATAAATACATTAATAAAGTTAAGTAAAATAGATTTTTTGAGAGGTTTTTGCTATAGGGCACATGTGCTCGCCAGAAAGACAAAGAGAGACAGAGAGAAAAAAAAGCAAGAAATCACCCCCCCAGGGGTGATGGCCAGGCTGTAATCCCTTCTCCTCCATTATCCTCTCAGCCCTTAGTGGGGTAAGACCTGAAGCCTCTCCCTTTCCCCTCCACTGTTTTCACTACTAAATTTCCCACTCCCCTGTCAGCCTGTCAGTCTCCCCTAAGGCTGGTGATGACTGGGTCCCAGGTTGCAAGCTTTGCATACAAAGTCTCTTATCCAGGGTGGTCTTTGTTACTTTCCCAGTCATTTATTCACTTATTTTTCATACATTAGGTGTGTTTTATGCACCAGACAGCGGGCAGCACTGGAAATATGTGGAAGCAGAAGGTCCTTGACTCAAAGCTATTTTGCTCAGTGGGACAGCCGTAAATATAAGTGTAATTCAATGTGGTGAGTGACACATAGGCATATATAAAGGAGATGTATGTCAAGTAAGGCTTTTAGGGAAATGCCTTTAAACTGGGTGGTAAGGGATGAGCAGAAGTTAGTTTTTTTGGGGGGAGTGCAAGGCAGGTACCTGTCAGGATGGTACAGGGGTTGTTAAAAACCACCAGACTAAAGGCAGGTGGCCAGACAAAGCCTAAAAGGGCAGAAACTAAGGGGTAGTGGCCGCAGCTGAACAAGGGCAGAGCAGGGCCTGCAGCCAGTGTGGTGTTAAGGTGCTGGACTCCCACGTGGTCGATGGTGGGCAGAGTCCCAGAGGGCGCTTTGCAAATCACACTGAGGGGACCAGCAGATGGCGCAATGGTTAATCTCTAGACTCCCACGTAGAAGACCGAGACTCTCTGCCAGGCGTGTATATGTATGTGCCCAAGATCCCGAGAGGAGAAGGGATTGCAGCGTGGCCATCCCAGGGGCGGAGGGGGGAGAATTCTCGCTTTCTGTCTCTGTCTTTCCGGCACCCACGCGTCCTATAGCAAAAACCTTTCTTCAAAATAAAAGAAAAAAATCATACCGGGCACCAGGTGTTACAGGATTGCTGCGTGGCCATCCCTCAGCCCCCCGGGGGGTGACTTCTTACTCTCCCTCCGTGTGTATGTCTCTTTCCCGCGAAAGGACGCGCCCAATGGTAAAAACTTTAAATAACAATAACAATAATAATAATGCCCGAGCAGCCGCAGAAGGTGCCGAAGGAGCGGGTCCAGGGCGGTAACAGATGTGCCAGGTTGGAAAGAGCACGGGCTTCATTCTGTCCAAGTGGCTGCTTCCTGGGAATTGGGAGACAGTTGCTGTGAGCACGGGAGAACAAAAGCATCAGGGAGCCGACGCCTTGCCACGCGTTACTGCACGGTCCAAGAGGGCAGCGACCCAGACGCCCACGGGGCCTGGCACATTCCGCGGATGTCGAGTGAGGAGACAGACGCGCTCTCATGCGGACGTCACGGGGCCCATTGGCGTTTTCCTCCCAGGACCAGACGAGGCACCGATCTGGGCGGAAAGGTTGAGGCTGCGGAGCTGCTATTCTCCCCCGAGACGCACCCACCAAAGCTGCCGTCTGCCAGGAGCGGCCTCGGAGAAAGCAACCAGCTGGGAACCGCGTCCGGCAGGGCCGCACTCACCCACCTGCCGGCCCGACGCCCGCCCCTCTAGGCGGCC